GAAGCCCATTTAATACAAACCACATCCTTTCGTCTTCAGGTCGCCGTCTTCTCCGACAGTTCGTCTTCTCCAACTCTCTTCTTCCCTTTTTTGGAAATTTCTGCAAATGTTGCTACAATCTTCCATAAATATTTGCATATTTCTATAAAGCACTCGAAACAAATGGTTGTTGCCGCCTCAAACGGATTTTCTCCCCGTCTTCCATCTTCCTTCTTCTCTTTCACGATTTTAGGGTTCCACCGGAAGACATCCAGCAGATTTTGGACCAAAGATCGCCGGCGTTAACCTGCTATTTCCTTACACATCTTCCATCTCCAGCCAATAAGGTAAATTTTCATTTTTTCTTAAGATTTTTGCCGAGTCCGATTCAAATTGGAAGAATCGGACTCGTATTCCGTACCGGTACCCGTGTCGTGTCGTGTCGACACGGGTACTCCGGCCAAAATGAAGAGTCCGAGCATCACAGGATAGACTATGGGGCCACTTATAACTTCACCTCGACCGAGCTGGTTCAGAGATTGGAATTGCCCAGGATTGAAACAACCAGGTATGGAGTGATAATGGGAACCAGATTAGCGGTGCAAGGGGCGGGCATCTTTACTGGGGTTGTTCTGGTTCTGTAGAATTTCGAGATAACTGAGGATTTCCTACCTTTGGACTTGGGAAGTTTAGATGTCATCCTAAGCATGAAGTGGTTATCATCACTTCGAAAAATGTCGGTGGATTGGAAGTCGTTAACAATGCACTTCCTGGTAGGGGGCACTAATGTCATGCTACATGGGGACACTAGCCTTAACAAGTCCCTAGTGAGTCTGAAATCGATGATGAAGGCTTTCCGGGAAGGGAGAGAAAGGATTTTATTAGAGTTGGGAAATCTGCCCATCGAGGTAAACATTCCAAGGCCACAAGTACCTGAAGAACTGGACAAGTTTTGACAGAATTTGAAAGCATTTTTCAGGAGCCGGGAGGGTTATCACCTCCTTGGGAGAGGGACCACTCAATAGTTCTACAGGCAGGAACTGCTCCAATAAGTATTCGGCTATATCAATATTCTTGAAGTCAGAAAAATGAGATTGAGAAATTGGTTCGGGAGATGTTGGCTGCAAGTATAATTAGACCCAGCACAAGTCCATTCTCTAGGCCAGTTTTACTAGTAAAAAAGAAAGACGGAGGGTGGCCCTTCTGTGTGGATTATAGGGCATTGAATAAGGCGACGATACCGGATAAATTTCCAATTCCGATCATCGAAGAGCTTCTGGACGAATTGCATGGAGCCTCAATTTTTTCAAAGTTGGACTTGAAGGCGAGGTATCATCAAATTAGGGTATCTCCTCACGTTATTCCTAAAACGGCTTTTAGAACTCATGAGGGGCATTATGAGTTCTTGGTTATGCACTTCGGGTTGACCAATGCGCCGGCCACCTTCCAAGCACTGATGAACAAAATATTCAAGGAGAGGTTGAGATAATCTGTCCTAGTTTTTTTTTTTTTTGCGATATCTTGGTATACAATCAAGATATGGGGCACTTGAGGTGGGTGTTGGACGTTCTTAGAAGAAATCAACTGCATTTGAATGGGAAGAAATGTGTTTTTGGCAAATGGGAAGTAGAATACTTGGGTCATGTCAGATCACAGAAAGGTATAGCTACAGATGGAGCAAAGGTCAGGGTAATGGTGGAGTGGCCAAGTCCGGGCTCTCTGCGTGAGTTAAGAAGGTTTCTTCGGATGACAAGATACTATAGGAGGTTTGTAAAGGACTATGGGAAAATTGTGTGGCCGCTGACTGAAAGATTAAAGAAAAACAACTTCTACTGGGATGAAGTGGCGGAGCGGGCCTTCCAGGAATTAAAAGAGAGAATGAAGTGTGGAGACAGATGCTTCGGGATACGGGCTAGGGACAGTGTTAATGTAAGAACACAGACCCATTGCTTTCTTCAGCCAAGCACTTAATCAGAAGGGTAGAGAGAAGTCAATATATGAAAGGAATTAATGGCAATAGTCTTCGCAGTCCAAAAGTGGTGGAATTATTTGTTGGATCATCACTTCATAATTCGAACAGATCAAAAAAGTTTGAAGTTTTTGTTGGAACAGAAGGTGGTCACTCCCGAATATCAAAGGTGGTTAGTGGAGCTTATGGGGTATCAATTTGAAATTCAGTACAAGCCAGGACTTGAGAACAAAGCAGCTGACGCTCTCTCATGCGTTAACCACTTGTCGGCATTGATGGCTCTGTCTAAGCGGCAATTGTCCAATTGGAGCAGCTGAATAGGGAAGTAGAAGTGAACGACAAGTTACGAAAAATTGCTACTGAATTAAGAATAGACCCTTGTGGTCGGCCTATTCTGTAAAAGAAAGATAGTTATTGTACGAAGGCGTTATTCCCAAATGATCAGCCTTGATTCCGCTTATAATGCAAGAAGGGCATGATGGTTACTTGGGGGCATTTGGGATTTCTAAAAACATATAAGAGGATTGATGTGAATGTGTAATGGGCTGGAATGAAGAAGGATATCCGTCAATATGTTAGAGATTGTGTAGTGTGCCAATAGAATAAATATGTAGCCTTATCCCAGGGAGGTCTGTTGCAACCCCAAACAATTCCTAATTAGGTGTAGGATGACATAGCTATGGATTTTGTAGAAGGTTTGTCAAAGTCGAGTGGCTGAGACACCATTCTAGTGGTGGTGGATAGGCTAAGTAAGTACGCCCACTTTGAATCCTTGAGGCATCCATTTTCAGCAATTAAGGTGGCTGGGGTATTCGTGAAGGAAATCGTACGCCTCCATAGGATTTCGCGTTCAATTGTATCGGACCGAGATAAAAAATTTATGAGCGGATTTTGGGAAGAGTTGTTTAAACTCCAAGGTACAAAACTCTGCCATAGCACCACATACCACCCGCAATCTGATGGACAATCTAAAGTAGTGAATCATACGTTGGAGACATATCTCAGCTATTTCGCTTCCTCTAAGTCGAAATCTTGGGCATGCTGGCTTCCATGGGCTGATTATGGTTCCTATCACTCGGCTTCCAAGTTGACACCATTCCAATGCTTGTATGGGAGGGAACCAACTCTACTGTTAAGGTTTGAAAAGGGGTCTACCCCTTTCTCTATGGTAGAAAGGCAGTTGCTAGAGAGAAATCAGATGTTGGAAAAGTAGTGAATCATACGTTGGAGACATATCTCAGCTATTTCGCTTCCTCTAAGTCGAAATCTTGGGCATGCTGGCTTCCATGGGCTGATTATGGTTCCTATCACTCGGCTTCCAAGTTGACACCATTCCAATGCTTGTATGGGAGGGAACCAACTCTACTGTTAAGGTTTGAAAAGGGGTCTACCCCTTTCTCTATGGTAGAAAGGCAGTTGCTAGAGAGAAATCAGATGTTGGAAGAGTTGAAACATCACTTAATGCGGGCTCAAGCTCACATGAAGCGAACAACGGATGCGAAGAGAAGAGATGTTCAATTCAGTGTAGTGGATTGGGTTTATCTGAAGCTACGCCCTTATCGACAAAAGTCATTATCATCAAGGCCCAATGAGAAGTTGGCCCCAAAATTCTATGGGCCGTTTCCGATGGAGAAGAAAATCGGACCAGTGGCCTACAAACTGACACTTCAATCAACTTTTCACATTCATCTTATTTTTCACGTATCACAACTACGCAAGGCTGAGGGTCAGTCGCACACGATGATGAATATCCCGAACCACTTGAATGAAGAAATGGAGTTGTTGTAGAACCGAAAGTAGTGTTGGGGGTCCGACCAGGGAGAGGAAATAACATCGGGAGTCTGGAAGTATTGGTGCAATAGAAAGGTTTACCGCCCTTAGAAGCCACATGGGAACCCTTTGAAATGTTGAGAAATCAGTTCCCAGACTTCCACCTTGAGGACAAGGAAGTGTCATGGGACGAAGTAATGAGAAGCCACCTATTCAAATTCAGTATTCCAGGCGAGAGAAGAAGTCAGGGACAGAAAAGGAAGACTAGAAAAAAGAAAGTTCTATGCACATGGGCACAACAAATTCAGTTGGGTAAGCTGTCATGGAGTCGGGGGTATATAAGTGGGAAGAAATGGTGAGAAGGGCAGCAAGCAAGTGGAATTTTTCTGGCAGGAGAGTTTGGACCTCTCAAAAGTCCAACTATCAATTGTTTTCTATTTCATTTCCTTTGACCATTCTACATTCAATTCGGTTGTATTCATCCAATTTATCATTAATGAAACGTTCTTCTTTGTTATTATCAATCTGAGCTTCTTTGTGTTGTGATTCTAGAGTTCAATTAGTTGGGAGTTTATCAAAGTACTAAAAGTTTAGCTAATAAGGGTACCATGGGTGGTCTCTTCCAATCCAGGTTATATTATTGCATCTTTTTCATGCCTCCTCTTTTTATTACTCTATCTTTGCTCGAGTAGTGTATCAACACACCTTTTGAGCCACAAAAAAGGAGCAGAGAGAGGTGAAAAAGACTTATGTAACTCTATTGTACAAGGAACATCATGCCCCACCTCGTTGTTAAACATTTCCATTTTCACCTAACATAACTTCGTTTGGTAGCCTAAAATCACTTTTTTGTTTGCTTTGGACCATTTGATTGCAAATGAGATTGTTGCATCTCATGGGCAATTATACGATCTAATTCATCTTTTAAATCCACCAATTTCTTCAAGTTCTCAATCTAAATGAGAATTTCCTCTCTATCAGCATGCAATAATTCCCGGTTGTTTCTCTAATTTCTCCCTCTGCACCTTAAGTTCTTCTATTGAATTATTAAGCTCCACCCATTCCTGGTTTCTCTTTTCGCAATCCAAATTTATTTCTCTTCTCTCAGCATCAAGCCTTCTCATTTCAGAGTTGACATATTCCAATTCCTTTCCTACTGAAAGAAGTAATATGTTGAAGTTCTTTCTTTTTGTCTTCCTCAAATGCATTCTCTCTTTCTTTGAGGTCATTCTCAATTTCTTCACGTCTCTTATCAATGCAGTTCTCCAGCTCCTTTTCTGCATCTGTACATCAAGCAAGAAGTCTTTAGGTTCTTTCTGAATCTTGCTGAACCACTCTGTACGTTCATGCTCAAGTTTACTCATGAATGCTTCTCGATCACGGGAAAAAGACTCAAGATCCTGTTTATACTGGTCTCTTAATGAATCATTCTCCGCTTTCAAGCTATCATACTCATCCTTCAGAAACTTAGAAACGGTTAACTTTTCCTCTGCAATACGCTCTTCTTCTTTTCGTAACTCTTCTCTTTTCTTATCAATCAATTCCCACTCTGTTTCAAACTTTGCCTTCTCTGCTTTCAATTGATCTGCCTCAGCCTCAATTTACCATTTTTGCGCGCTGATCATATCTATTTCTTGCTTAAGTCTCAACTCAAGATCCACTAGCTCATTTGTTTCATTCTTCATTGCCTCCACTTTCTCTTCTATGTCATTAACGTTTCTTCTATTTTCCTCCAACAAGTCCAAAGATTTTTGAAGGTCAAGCTTTATCCTAGTGATATCTTCTTTCTCTTTCTGCAAAAGTTTCCTCTTCAATTCCACCTCTTCTTCAACTGCTAAAAGTCTCTTCTCTTTCTCTGCAACTGAGAAAAACTTCTCTTCTAGCTCCTTTTCCCTTTCTACATAATCTCTTGACTCAAAATTCAAATCTCGTTCTCTCTCCATAATGTAATCCTCCTGCTGCTTGATAGCTAGTTCTCTCAACCCCCAAGCCCGCCTCTTGGCATCAAGTTCTTCTTCCACCAATTTACGCTTCTCTTTCAATTCTACCTCAAATGAAGACTTCCTCATTGTCAATGTAGCTTCTTGAATTTCCATTACTTGATGAATATTATCCCATATATGAATTAGGGGTGAAATGAGATAAGCTTTAGATGCAAGAAAAGCGAAATCAATTTTCCCTTCTAATAATTGACTTACTAGCCAATTTTTCTTGTGAAATGAGCAGTTCTTCCTCTTTCTTGAAAAGGTCACGTTCTTTTTTTATGGCAGCCTATAAGCACGAAAAGAACTCATTAAAACATATAAGATCAGTCTATCTTAGCAACATAGACAATCAAAACAAAAAAGAAAATATTATTTTGACCTCCTCTCTTGTTGACAAAGACATTGCTGTTATATTAAGAGATTGGTTTTTCTCATTAAGGGCTTCTTTCTCTTTCTCTCTCTCTTTCTCTAAGCTCAACTTTGTATCCTCCAACTCCTTCTCAAACCTCTTTAACTCCCAAGATCTATTAAAAATATATTATTCCCTCTGATTTAGCAAAGCTTGTCCATCAAATAATCTTTCTTGTGATTGTTGCTGCATTTTTTGCCTTTCAGTCAGTGATTACCTCTCAAGCTGGATCTCTCTTTCTTTATCATCACATCTAGCAGAATGATGATCAACATAATTACGTGTCAATCATAGTTTTCTGTTAGATCATAATAACATTATTCTTGTATAACAAATGCATTCAAACTAAGACAAGACCCAAAAAAAAAACCATACTACTATGATTTTGTATTCAAAATGAGCATGGCATTCAGGAAGCTTCAAATCTAACCCAAAAACTAGTAATTACCAACGGTGTCAAAGCAGATAATTCGAAGTTCACAAGCATCCATTTGATTAGACTGTTGGGGGATATCAATGTAACGAGGCAATTAGCAAAAAGTCCATGTAACAGAACGTGTAAGAAGACCATTTAGTAGCAGATATACCTAAGACAGAGCAACTTGTTGGATTCATTGAATTGTGACAAATAATAAAGCACATACTCAAATTTGAATGACATCATCCATCTCCTTAGATCATCTTCCCGATCTCCAACTTCTAGCAACCTTCTTTTTGTAGTTCAGTGGAACCAGCTAGCATCTGCTTCCAACAATTTTGCTACATGAAGTTTTTCCTCTGCCTCCATGAACTTCTTCTGAGCGTTCTCCACCATAATTTGAGCCTTTGTCAGTTTATTCTCGGCAGCAACCTTTGCCTCCGCCAATTCTGCACACATCTCATGCAATGACTTTTCAATCTACATAAATTCAAAAAACTAGAAACTATGATGAGGACCATACACATCATTAAAATAAAAGTGAAAACCACTAAATAATACATTTTTAACACATTCTTTCTCAATTCCAACAGCCTTTTTCAAACTATCTTCCCGCTTCCTGGCATTTGCCAAATTAGATGTATGAGTAGCTTGTTCGTGCTTAAGCTTCAATTCAGTAGCAGTTTTAGCTTGTTCATAATTGGAAACCCACTCCTTCTTTTCCAGAATGAGAAGGCCCATGTGATGCTGATGTTCATATATCTACAAATCAAGAACATCCACTTATAACAAAATTAGAATCTCAACAAGCATGTAAAACTTAAATAATGTGCCCAGATTAGGAAGATTTTGTTAAAATATACACCCCAGTAGTACTAAAAGTGCAGAATCACTTGTTGTGAGAACTTTTAGAATCTTTCAAACACAAGAGAAATCAAAAATGAAAAACCCATTCTTAATTCGGAGAAACTTTAAATTAATACACTCCCCGATTTTCTAGAAAAAAAGAAACTCCTCAAAATCAGATCGTAAATCAATCGTTGCAACCAAAAAAATAAAATAAACTACACAAACGATGTAATGAAGAGGAGCAGCCCACAATGGAAGAAGAGATCAGCAATCCAGCACCAGCCAGTTGGGGAAGAAAAGTAATTAGAAACAAACGGCTCTAATCTGAAATTTGAACTTGGGAACGATGCCGTTTCAGCGTGGAATTAATTGTAGTAAGTGTATTACACTTTTGCAAGCCAAACATCCTTTTTATGTTATTTAGCAAATGAGAGGGAAAAAATAGAGTAAGTGGAAAATTGTCAGAATTTTGTACCTCCTTCCTCCTCTCGCAACTTCTCTGTAATCTCTCTCCTTCCTTTCTTATTGTAAATTCTTTTAGTTCAATCAATATAGTACCAGTTGGGTTGTTAAATCCCAATTGATTATCTTCATCTTGTGAGTTCATTGTGGTGAGTTTGGTTGGTCTTGGTTGAGGTTTAGCTCAACCATTACAAGTGGTATCAGAGCAATTAGAATTCTGGGCATGGATACTAGGGCCAAAGCAATAGAGAAACATCTTAAAAAGTTGGATAGGGACGTAGAGGATCTCAGAGAAACCTTTAAAAATGTGGGAATCAAGGTAGAAAGATCGGACCAGACGTTGCAAAATCTGTGTAGCAAACATGATCGGATGGAGGCCTTGGTGACAGAAATGAGCGCTAAATATGAGTCCATGGTACAATGATGGCAAACTGGAGTGGGCAAAAAGGGGAAACCAGGGATAAGCAGAAATAAGGGTCGTCTGTGCAATCCAGAAAAATGTAAGGTTGAAACCACCCAGCCTGTGACAGTGACTGGGGCTAATGGGGATAAAGAAGATCAAGGCTATATGTAATCCATTAACCTAGATCATGCAAGAAATGGAGTGTCAATTCCAATTGAGAGTGTTAAGGTTGGGGGGAGTGACATGGTGTTAGGTGTGGATCGGTTAAGCCAATTCAACTCAGTGGATTTTGATTTCAAACAGAGTAGCATCAGGTTATGTTATGGAGCAATAGAAGTGGAGTTGAAAAGTGAGGTGGACAAGGAAGATATCCTATTGATAGAAGGGGAACAAATAAGTCAGTGGATTCATAAACAACCCTATGGGATTGTAGCTCAAATCCACTCTGTGGTTGAAGAAGAAAAAGAGCTCACTCCTGAAGCCATACAGAATATTCTTGAACATTATCCTAAGGTTTTCATTGAGCCAAAAGGGAATGCCACCTCCTAGATTTAATGATCATAAGATCCCATTGAAAGAGAGAGCTCAGCCTTTCAAAATTAGACCATACCGGTGCCCGTATATACAGAAGGCAGAATTGGAAAGGATGGTAAAGGAGATGCTAGAAACTGGGATTATCCAACAAAGCAACAGCCCTTATGCCTCACCTATTTTGTTCGTTAAAAAGAAGGATGGAACATGGAGATTCTGTGTACACTATAGGCAGTTAAATATGGGACTTAAGGAATGATATAAAAAAAAAAAGAGGGAAAAATATTAAATAGTCTCACCATCAAAGATAAATATCCTATGCCATTAATTGACGAATTTATCGATGAATTACATGGGTCTAAGTGATTTTCCAATATTGATTTGAGGGCAGGATATCGCCAAATCAAGGGAGCTGAAGTTAATATACACAAAACAACTTTTAAGATACCATGGTCTATATGAATTCAAGGTTATGCCCTTTGGGCTCACCAATGCCCCAACCACCTTCTAGTGTTTAATGAATGAAGTTTTCAAGGAATATTTGAGGAAGTTTGTTCTAGTTTTCTTTGATGACATCCTGGTATACAACCCTGATTTGGAATCTCACCGTAAACACTTGTCCATAGTCATGGAAACTTTAAGAACACAACAGTTGTATGCTAAGTGGACTAAATGCTTATTTGGGCAACCCAAAGTAGAGTACTTGAGTCATATTATATCAGCAAAAGGAGTGGCAGCTGACCCATCAAAGGTAAGTGCTATGCAGCAATGGCCTACACCTAACAATATCAAGCGAGGGGATTCCTTGGTTTGACAGGATATTATAGGAAGTTTGTAAAAGGGTATGGGGTTCTTGCTAAGCCTCTAACTGACTTACTAAAAAAGGATAATTTCAGGTGGGATACAGCTGCAGAAAAGGCATTTCAAAGGCTAAAGGCAGCAATGTGCAATACTCCAGTCTTAGTCTTACCTGATTTCAGCTATACATTCATCATAGAGACTGATGCTTGTCATGGAGGTATGGGGGCAGTGTTAATGCATAACAAAAGGCCTATTGCTTACCTTAGTAAGGAAATCTATAATGAGACGTTAGGAATGTCCATCTATGAAAAACACATTATTGGCCTAGTCACAACAATGGGGAAATGGAGACATTATATGGAAGGACACCACTTTATCATAAAGACAGATCGTCAATCTCTTAAGTATCTACTGGAATAGAGAATAACTATCCCCATTCAACAAAAGTGGTTGACTAAGCTCTTTTGACTCAATTATGAGATTCAATACAAGAAAGGTGTGGAAAATACATTGGCAGATGCGCTCTCAAGGAAGGAAGAAACAACTATACAATTAGAAACCATTTCTAGTGTGATTCCTACTTGAATACAAGAGGTACTAGATAGCTACAAGGATGATGAACTGGTTGCACAACAAATTGAAAGGTTGTTGATTAATCCAGAGGATAATTCTAAGTTTACTTTTAACAATGGGATACTCAAGTACAGAGGGAGGCTATATATTGGATCTGGAGGATAGATAATGGAGAAACTAATACAGAACATACATTCCTCTCAGAATGGAGACCATTCAGATATTCAAGCCAGTGTATTCATGGCTAAACAACACTTCTTTTGACTTGGAATGAGCAGAGATATTAAGAGGAAAATACTCCTATAACGTCCCAAATTAAATTTAAATTTAGGACTTCAGCACGCTATTATTAAAGTTAAACGATTTTATTAATTATTAACCAATAGTTGAGGGCCCAAGTAGAAAATTATTTGGGAAATTAGATGAAATCATGCATAAAGCATGTGTAAATATGCTACTTAGTCTTGATTAATGATGATTTATTGACCACATGCATTATTCACACTACATTTCAAGCCAGTGTAATTGATTTGACCACTTAAATAAAGGAAATTGATTTGACCACATGCACCTAGTTTTAAGTTAAATAAATTGATTTGACCACACAATTTAAGCTATTGATTTTATCATTTCATGACAACACACCAGTTAAGCATTGATCTAGCCTATCATCTAGCAATTTCCCTTCTCTTTTCCACACATGGTCAAAAATTTTCACTATAAATAGGAGACAAATCCAACACTAAGTTACCTCGCAACAACTATTTACACACTCTCCCTCTCTACCTCTATAACTTTGTCTTTCCACTTCCTCTCTTTCTCGTCATTTTGATATTAAATATAGTCGTATACTTATACTATCACACGAGAATAATCAACCCCATAAGCATCTCAAGGATCTCTTTTCAACAATAACTCATTTTATCATTTTGAATTGTCTAACGAAAAAATGGTAAGTTATGTTTTATGTTTATGGTGGCTAATGTTTATGTATGTAACATTTCTACAACTACGTTATGTTTGATCCATGTTACGTATGTTTTATCATGAATGGACCGGAGTTTAGTAGCGCTACGCACTAGAATTTAGCACCATATAAGTTCGATCTAATTTTCGTTTCTCCCTATGCAAGTTATGAATTTTTCGAAGAAATATTTATGTGAATTCATTATCCACGCACACTTATTGAAAATTTATCCTCCAACCCCATAAGCATCTCAAGGATCTCTTTTCAACAATAACTCATTTTATCATTTTGAATTGTCTAACGAAAAAATGGTAAGTTGTGTTTTATGTTTATGGTGGCTAATGTTTATGTATGTAACATTTCTACAACTACGTTATGTTTGATCCATGTTACGTATGTTTTATCATGAATGGACCGGAGTTTAGTAGCGCTACGCACGAGAATTTAGCACCACATAAGTTCGATCTAATTTTCGTGTCTCCCTATGCATGTTATGAATTTTTCGAAGAAATATTTATGTGAATTCATTATCCACGCACACTTATTGAAAATTTATCCTCACACCATTATATCTCTACTTTCAGATAATTGACAATTCGAGACAGTCAGCATGGAGATGGCTTATGGTGGCAATAATTTTAATAATAGAATTATTAAATTGTCAAACTATCATTTCATTTGATTTTAAATGTTTTAAGATATTTCTTGTTCCAAGTTAATTTATTAAATTCATTACATTTTTGAATTTTAGTAAGTACTTAAATAATTTATATGATTATTTTGAATATTCTTTCAATTAGTTTAGTTTAGTGACACTCGAACCGTTAAGAATTTGAGTCGTCACAAATCCAATGTGACATTTGTCAAAGGTGTAAAAGGGAACGTGTTCCCCACCCTGGTTTACTACAACCTCCTCCTAAACCACATTACTCTTGGAGCAACATCTCAATGGATTTCATTGAGGGGTTGCTTGCTTCAAAGGAGAAGACTGTCATACTGGTGGTGGTAGACCGATTTACCAAGTATGGGCGCATCATAGCATTGTCACACCCATTCTCTTCAATTACAATGGCTAAAATCTTCTGGGATAACACCCACAAACTCCATGGTACGCCCCGGAGTATAGTATCAGACAGGGACAAAGTTTTCACAAGTGAGTTTTGGCAAGAGTTATTCAAACTGATGGTGACAACTCTACACCTAAGTTCTACCGATCACCCACAAACTGATGGGCAAACTGACAGACTCAACCAATGTTTGGAAATGTATCTGAGATATATGACTTTTCATCAACCAAAGAAGTGGATTAAATGGTTGTCCATGGCCGAATGGTGGTACAACACCACCTACCATACAACAATTAAGATGAGCCCTTTTGAAGCTCTGTATGGCATTAAACCACCACAATTGGCTCTGGGACCCTACCAGCAAATCAATGTTGCTGCAGTGGAGGATTTGGTAAAGGAAAGACAGTAAATGGATCAATTCCTGAAAGAGCATTTTGCTCAAGCTCGAGCAAGGATGAAATTTTATGGTGACCAACATAGAGTGGAAAGAGTATTCCAGGTAGGAGATTGGGCGTATTTGAAGTTGCATCCCTACAAACAACATTCAGTGATGACAAGGTCTAACCAGAAGCTGGCTGCCAAGTATTATGGCCCCTACCAAATCACCAGAAGAATTGGACAGGTTGCTTATGAGCTGCAGTTACCCACGTTCCTCCACGAATTCATCCGGTATTCCATGTGTCATTGCTTAAGAAGAAGATAGGTGATAAGGAAGTTCCTATTTTATTGATGCCAGATGGGAGGGTGCAGTTGAAGTATTTTAGGGAACCCATGTTAGTGCTACAGACCAGGATAGTGATGGCAATTTACCCGCCCCACCTCACCCCGAATGGGGCAAAAAAACCCGCCCCGTCGCGGGACACGATCCCCCAGCCTCGAACCCTTCCCGTGAAATTTTTATTTTTTATTTTTTATATAAAGGTTAGGTTTTTACTTGTTAAAATGAGTGGGAAGCAGAGTTGAGTTTTTCATACCAAACGTGAGCATTCTTTTTAGCTTCCATCCTTTCGTTTATGTATTTACACTAGTAACCCAGAGATTGAAGTTGGCTTTGAAGTAGGAAATGGAGTAAATTTAATTTTTCAAGTACAAATTACTCATTAAAACTGGGTCAAATATTGTTCATTTGTATGGTAAAATTATCCACGTAAAACTAGCGCTTTACCTATTTATTTATGTATTTTTTTTTTACTTGTGTTGTAAGCTCAAGCACATTTCAATAAGGAAAAATTTCATATATAAGAGATTAGGATGATCCATTTTAAAATTAAAGAAATAAGATCTACAACTTGACTGGAATTCAAGAACACTATCCACTCTTTCAACCTTGGGGACAAGGTCACTTTGAGGGGGAAGTATGTAATGAAGAGAGGCAGCCCACAGTGGAAGAAGAGATCAGCAATCCAGCACCAGCCAGTTGGGGAAGAAAAGGAATTAGAAACAAATGGCTCTAATCTGAAATTTGAACTTGGGAACGACGCGTTTCAGTGTGGAATTAATTGTAGTAAGTGTATTTCGCTTTTGCAAGCCAAACACGTTTTTTATGTTATTTAGCAATCGAGAAGGAAGGAATAGAGTAAGTGGAAAATTGTCAGAAGTTTGTACCTCTTTCTTCCTCTCGCAACTTCTCTGTAATCTCCCTCCTCCTTCCTTCCTTATTGTAAATTCTTTTGGTTCAATCAATATAGTATCAGTTGGGTTGTTAAATCCCAGTTGATTATCTCCATCTTGTGAGTTCATTGTGGTGATTTTGGTTGAGGTTTAGCTCAACCATTACAAACGAGTAAAACAAAATATCAAGAAAAACACAAAATCCAAACAGAGAAAAAGGAAAGAAAACGAACAAAAAAGAAAAAAGAAAATACATAATGAAGTAGAGAAAAAAACCTTGGCTTCGAGTTTAGCAATATGGGCAATGAGAGCCGCCTTGTCTCTGCGTTTGATGAACTCTTCATCGAAACCCGCCTCTATGAGTTTTTTCCATACGACTTCATCGCTTAAAGGGGTTTTCAAAAGCTGGGTAGAACCAGAACTTGGGTTTGTCAAAAGCTAGGAACCAGATTTTGTGGTTGTCAATTTTATAGTTGCCGGAGTCTTCAGAATCACTCTGTCCGATTGAGAACTCGGACTCGCCATTGACTAACCAAAAACCCTAGATTTCAGTGCTTCAATCCACTATTTTATCTTGAGAATGCAAGAAATTTGCCGTGTTTTCTCAACTTTCTTGATTTTGCTTTAGTGAAAGTTGTGGACTCTACTACTGAAACGCTGTTTCTTTTCTTTCCAGTTTTCCTCTCTCCATCTAATAGTCTATAACCGTATTATAAAACTCCCCTTTTTTTCCTTCCTTTGATCAGGTTTAAATAAAATGGAATTTATATATGACGACGTTTTAATGAAAGTTAACAAGAGACAATAGAGTATATTTTCCTGTTATATAACTATTAGGCTCTGTTTGATTGGTTGTGCTTTTCCATGGAAAATGGAATTTGACCCCCATTTTCCAATTTTTGCATGTTTGATTTCCTAAATTTTCTAGGGAAAACATTTTCTTGGGTTAGAATTGACGCGCCCCATTTCTTGGTTTTTCTTTCTTCTTCTTCTTTTATTTTTTTTTTTTTTTTTTTAACAATGAAACCAAATTGTATGAACAATTGTAAAAAAAGATATCTCTTAAATTGACAATTTACATATAAAATAAAGTTAAACGAACACCAAAAAATACTTTCATTTAAATATTTTCTATGTGAAAAATTATACCAATCAAATACAATAATTTACAATTCCCAAGAAAATAATTTCTAAACAATTTAATTACCTGGAATTCGTTTTCTTTCCACTCAAATTCCATCTTTGAAATCAAATAGAACATTAATTTAATTTATGGTTTACAACATCATCATTTTTAATCACACATTCACATAATAAAATATTTTACACGTATATCAAGCCCCGTTTGGCCCTCATTTTTTTCAAATTTTAATGGTTGAAATAGTATTTTTTGAAAAATGTATGGTTGAAAAAGAATGAAATATTTTTTATTTACGTGTAATATTATTTTATGAAAGATTGTGTGGTTACACATAAGAGAGAGAAAAAGAATGAGAATGGGAGCCAAACGAGGGCCAAAATTTTCCCCTATTTTAACCACACATTTTTTTCTAAAAATCACTATTCAAAACTCTTCTCTTTAAACATTAATGGCAGTCAAACAAGGTCTTAATTCTTGTTTGTCATTTTTTACTTTACATTATTTTCCTTTAATTTCTCTACAATAATCATTTTTAATCGCTCATTCTTTATTAAAATAATATTCCACGCAAATCAAAAACTTTTCTTTCTTTTTTAACCACACATTCTCCATTAATCACTATTTCATAATACATTTTTTCGAATTAATGGAACTCAAACATGGCCTTAATATTATTACCTTAATTTGGTTTTCGAGTTTGAAATTTAAACTAAAATTGCAGTGGAAGGCAAAGAACCCTAGAAAGCCTGTCCATGTCAAGTTAAGACAATTTTAAGGGTGTGTTTGAGCCCCTTTAATTTTGAAAAATGTATTATGGAATAATATATTAATGGAGAATATGTGGTTAAGAAAAAAGAAAAAAAATTATTTGTGTGTAATATTATTTTCATGAAGAATTTGTGAGTGAAAATGTTTACCGGAAAAAAAATAATGTTGTAGAATGTAAAATAATAGGAGACAAATTGAGACTAAATTAATTATGTTTGAGATCACGTGTTTCATAATAGATTTTTTTTTTTTTGAAAAATGTATAATTAAATAGTAGTAGAAAAGCATAAGCATCCTCTAGCTATACTTCACTGTTCCAACATATCTAACTTCTATTAAAAAGGGCAACAAGCAACCACTATAGATTGAACAGTTAAGTAATCCCATTCTACCGTATGCCTTTTTTTTTTTTTTTTTTTTTTTTTTACTCACATCTATTTTACTGTAGATCTCTACCCGACCATGCCTTTTCAACTTCACGTAACCATTCCTATTTCTCCATTTACACACGCAACTTCACCATCCCCACAACTATAAGCTTCATCTCTATTTCTTATTGTGCACGTACCTGGTTTGGTATTATTTGAGGAGCTCAATATCTCTTATTCGTGTTTTAAAAAATAAAAAAAACTTTGGAACACAAGAAGAAAATTGCTGTGCGTTTGGTTTGACTTCTTCTTCAAACCTTATGAGGTACGCTTTATATGTTTGTGAACATTAAGCTTGTGTTTTTTCGCCATTCTTTGATTTTTTGAATCTCCATATTACATAATGCAGATATAATACAAAATTAAAGGCTTTGAAATACTCTAAACAAGAAAGTGGTTTAAGAGGTATATCAATTTAAATATCTCTTTCTACTTCCTTTCTTCTCCAAAAAAACTTTGCTACTTCCAACTTTCCTTTTATGTAACATGAAATGGGCTGTAGATGGTTAGTAGTGTTTTCTTCGTAATTTTTTTTATGGAATTGATTTAGGTTTTGTTCCAAATTGCATTGAAAATGCATATTTTCCTTTCGAATAGAGGCAGAGTGAGTGAGTTTGTTGAAATTCTATTTCTTTGTTTTGCAGAGAGGTTTTCAGGCTTTGGTCAGTTTCTCTCTCTCTCTCTCTCTCTCTCTCTCTCTCTCTCTCTCTCTCCAGTTTTTTCTTTAATGAAATTTGTTTAGATATGTGTATTTTTTTCAAGTTTTTCGATTGTCCTTGCTAGCTTTCATCTTCCTATTGATTATACATTCTTGCTCATCTCTCTATGAAAAGTTGATATTTTCTGCTAAAATAATTATCAGTTGTGTGTGGATGTGTTTCTTGTTTAGATTTTATAATTAATTATTTTCTTGAAAAGCATTGTCTTAGCGAGTTGGGTAAATTGATGTTAATTTTGGTGAATTTATTTTTGTTGGAATACCGAGCATTTAGTCTTGTAAATTTTATGGTTGGTTCACATTTATTGTTTCATAAATGTGATATAACTTCTTTTATCTTCATTGGTATTTTCACCTGCAAGCATGCTATTGTAGATGCTAGCTTAAAAAAAATCTTCACACTGTGCAGAGAGTTTTCTCCAACTCTCCACATGTGCGGAGACTCTACACAAGGTCTCCCCATGTGTGCGGAGTCTCCCCCACACGAAATGTGCAGAGAATGTGCGCAGGGACTCCGCACATATTTGTGTGGAGTCTCCTGCACACTTGTAATGTGCGGAGACTCCGCACATTTGTTACGGAGTTGCTCCGCATAATTTGCAACCTTTTTTTTTTTTGTTAGAAATCATGCAAACTAATATTTGTTTATAATATTGAAATTTGCCTCCTAAAATTTTTTTAATTTCTTATTTTATTAGCTTAAAAAAATACATTAAAGTGAAAGATTACGATTATGATATGATATAAAATTACAACATTCAATTTTCTTTATTTTTATACAGTAATTCAGAAATTCAATATAAAATAAATTTTATATTTTTATAAAAAACTGTAAATCTAATAAAAAAAATATAATTAAAAGAATAAGTTTAATTTCAATATAATACAAAAAAAAAACTTTCAAAAATAAAAAGGAAAAATCGTTGCAATGTTAAACAACAAAAGAATCTAAACATAATAATAAGAAGACAAAAAATAAAAAAGTAAGTGAAAGAAAACTAACTCGTGAAAAAGAAAAAGATAGAATGTTGCCAAACAATCACAACAAAAGGAAACTGCCAAAATCTAACAACAATTATTCTTCAAATTAGCAATTTTCTGAAAGAAAAACAATTGAAAAAGAGCTCGAGTTTGAAATAAATGAATAGTGAAATGTATTATTGATTGCACTATACATACTTTATCACTGAAATATAAAAACTTTTGCAATGATTTTTGGCTTTTTCCAAAAACACTCACGTGATTGTTACAATCATTTACTATTTCATCTAATTTTTCAACAGCTTAATAGTATAGATTTATTGTTTGGTGTTGAATTTTTTTAAATAATTATAATAGATCTTCTTGTTACACTAATAAAATTATATTAATTTTATTTTTTTTACAAATAGCATAAAAAAGTAAAATCAATTCATCTTAAAACACACACACACACATTTAACCACTCTTTTTTTTTTTTTTTAAACTCCCGAAGCAAGAAATACAATTATATAAAAAGAAGACAATATTGAATTACGACATTAGTAGTTAAGAAATTCAATATTAAATAAATTGTATAGATTTATAACAAATTATAAATCAAGTCGATATTTTCTTTTACGTTAATGAAATAATATAATTAAAAGAATATGTCAAACTTCAAGATAATGCAAAGAAAGAAAAAAAAGAAGCATACTCTCAAAAAAATCACTACAATCCAGATGAATGAACAAACATAATACAAAGGAAAAAAAAAATATAATCTGTGAAAAACAAAAGTAACCTATAAATAAAATGCTGTCACAGAATTCAAACAAAATACATGCAAAAAGTAAAATGACAGAAATATATCACTTCTTATTCTTCCATTATGTCATTTAAACCCTTTCATCTTTCAAATTTCACCTCTTTCATCTTCCATCTCAAGTTACTACAGCCACAAATCAAAGGTAGTTTTATTTAATTTAAGTTTTACTTAGGTTGGAAGTTTAATACTTATATATTAATAAAAATATCTCTACTTAACTAAATTAAATTTGTTATATTTAATATTTCTAATTGAAAACTTGAATGTGTGAAATCATCTGATGATTTTTCGAGATTTGAAACTTTCAATTCTACATATTTAACGTTTTCCTATGTATATATAATCAGTTGATATAATAATATTATGATTAATAAAATTCTATCTATAATTTTCTGTTTTCCAATTTCATCAACTATGCGTTATTTTCTATACTATGGACATTGTCTCTTGGGAAAATCAGTGAAGAAAGTAAATTTATAGGAAATAAATATACCAGAAGAAAAATACAGATTTCTTTGACAATGCATTCACAAAAATCAAAATTACACGTTTTTTCTCATGCTTGTGACCTTTTCAATTTTGAAGTAATTATTTCACTCAACCTAATTTTGTATTGTTACTGCCAAATTTTTTTTTTTTCCGCCGCTAATTCTTATCGCATTGGGCATGGATATACTATATAATTTCTTTCGAATTGTTGACACTTTTTTAAACCATAACATTCGACTGGCAAGTCTTATTATAATGTTTATACTTTCTTAAAACTAATAAAATCATACATTAGCTAAAAGTACTTTTATTTTTAGTTGTATGGTTCCTTCCAAAATCTCTTGTAGAATCAGGACATGAACTTGCCAACATAATACGTCTAATTGGATAAATGGTATAATTGCCTATCATACAAATAGAAAGAGTTGACAATGACATTTATCTAGCTGGAGGATGGGAACAATTTTTCGACCATCACAATTTAGAAGATGGTTATGTTATTGTGTTCGAATATATTAGAAATTCTACTTTCAATGTTTCAATATTTGACGATTCACAGTTAGAAGTAACTCATACATACCACTCTAACTCTGAAGTTGTTGAAGAAGAGACATCCCATACAGGAAATTCTGTCATTAGGCTAACATTCAAACGTAATGACAGTCGCAAAATTGTAAGTTTTCTTTTACTCATGTTTTCACAATTTTAATTCACCTTTTCGCTCATTTTTATTTTACTTTTTAGTATGTACCTTTGAGATTCAGTGGAGAACATCTACCCAAATTTATACGAAGCGTACGAATCCATGACTCTTCGCATCGCAACTGGACTATTTCTATGAGTTTGACAATAAATGGTGATGTAAGATGTTTCACTACATGTTGGTCACAATATGCGAGAGAGAAACAGCTTCAAATATGTGACACATACGTGTTTGAGCGTTTGAGCTGCTATAACGAACTCCCAATGTTAATGGTACACAAAGTATGCTATGATGGATCCATTGCTTCTCTATAAATTAATTTATTGTTAATCTATAATAAACTTTGTGCTAAATGTTCAATTTTCCAATGCAAGTATTTTCCAACTTATTCGGACTTACACAAAATTTAGAAACATAATTTTCAAGTTCAACTCAATCATATCAACACTGTCAAAAACTCAAACATTGAAGTCAACAATACAAGCAGAATAATTTGTGTAACCTCATATATTTCTTATTCAAGCATATTTTTTCTAGATGTGAAGAAATACTGTTATGAAATTGTAAAAATCAGTAATAATTTGCAATTATTTTTTATATCATGAAAACATTTCTAGATATTGCTTCAAAAAAATTCAAAAAAAAACTAAAATTCATACGCTGACAAAAATACGATAAATATAAAATTCGTGCAACGCACGTGACAACAATTAGTCCTTGGCAAAATGTTCGAACGAGATAACCTGAATCTAAAGCCAATTGATGTAGAATAATGTGCACGACAACATAAAAATATGAAAATTACAAACAACCTTCTAGTTCTCATTGATCCATTCACGAAACATGAAGCAATGAATTAACTCATTGATCCTTGAGAACATTTAATTTTCATTTCGTCAAAATCTCCTTATTTCATAAGACTTTAACGAATTTTTTATAATAGAATCATTTCTGAAATGAAAATACTAAATATCATATATAAATATAAGTCTAAGATATTAAATTGTCATAATTAAAACCTTAATTAAAGAAAATTTCTAAAAACTATCATATAATACTAAATTCTAGCACTACCGAGTGATAATTCTCATAGTGGCTGCATCATTACCCTTAGTTTGGAGAAAAATCGTTCTCGAATTTTAAGAAATTTGGAATGTTTTCTGCATCATTTACAAAATGAACACGTCTCTGATATCGACGTAAAGTCGTGATACAGAAGTATGATAGCACAGAAATCACGACAACCTTCTAGTTTCTGTTGATTCACTCATGAATTTCAGAAAGTTAGACATAAAATTCTCATTGATTCCACAAAATACCGAAATTTTGGACATATAATTAAGAATGTTCAGTCTTTCGCCCGGCGGGGCATAACCCAGTGGTGCAAAAAATATGAGTGAGGTAGTCTCAACTTTGTTGGTAGCCGCAGTATGAGGATTCGATTCCTGAGATATGAAATTGAACTCTTTGTGGGGCACTAGTGTATGGACAAACTCTTGTTCCCTGATCTGTTGGGGCACATCCCGCGATTTACCTCCCTCACGATGCTCTAAAGACGGAACGATGGGAGCTCTCAAGATTGGGGTTCAACCTTTAAGAATGTTCAATCTTTCATTTCATCTAATCTCCTTTTCGAAAAGACAAATGATTTTATTTTATAAAATAAAATCTTAGTCCTTAAACGAAATATCAAAAACACAATAATAAAACTTCTAATTTAATGTATTAACTGTAAAATTACTAGAAGCAAAATATTAATCAAATGAAAAATGCGAAACTATCATATATTACCAAATTTCTAAAACTGACAATAATTGAGAACTTTCATGTGGGTTGCAAGAAAGATATTCAATCTGAAGAAGCCCCCATTAGAGGGCAACGGCTGCTCGTGGCAGACCATAAGAACCGTTTGAGGGGCTGGTCTAAGTGTCGACCAAACCCCATGTGCAACGGTTCAACCTCGATGATAAGTGCAATTTTTGTGTTTATTATACCACTTTATTAGACTTTTAAGTTGTCAAAATGTTAATTTCTATTTAACTTAGGTTAATTTTCTTTTGTTTTTAGTGAAGAACCCGTTTGAAGTAATTGAAAAATGGTGAAGTCCAAAGTACGGGGATTAACTAGGCTATTGGATGCAAAGTTTGGAGATTAAAGTCTACACTCTAGAAATTGAAGGATGAAATTGTATCATTTTCAAAGAATTGGGAACTTGGAACCAAACATCACCATAATGGGCCTCAATTTGGACCAAATAATGAAGACGTGTGGCGGAAGAAGTATTATTGGGTAATAAAACAATTTGGTCTAAAATGTAATTGGGAAAAAAAAAAAAAAAAAAAAAAAAAAAAAAAAGTAAGAAACCAATTGGAGTCCCCTTGGAAGTCAAACTCAACGGCTAGGTTAAAAGAATATATATTATACCCTTGTTTGAATAGTGTATTGATATGAAATGTGTAATTAAAAAGTAAGGAAAATTTTTAGATTTGCTTATAATATTATTTTATTGAAAAATATATGGTTAAAATTATGTCAAAATATTGTTGAAGAATTCATTTTTTCTAAAGAATGGAAATCAAATATATACAACAGTAAGCGAGGAAAAAGGTGGGGGCTGCCGGTTGTAGTGGGAAAATATATATGTGTATATATTCATGCACATTAAAAAAAGGAGGGAGTTGGGGAATAACCTAGAAAATATTTGTCTTCTTTGTGAGCCAACAAAAAAAGGGGCTGGGGCTGAATTTTATATATTTTATACGCTAATTAGGAGTAAAATTGGAGCTGCTGGGAGGAGAAAATAAGGCTGCCAACCGGGTGGAATAACACAAACAAAAGGGCTGTGCTTTTGGCTGGGAGGAGAGACATATTAAAAACATTGGACGACTGGGAAATTGAAGAAGCAGAATTGTTACACACGCATATAAGCGGTAATTGAATTGGGCAGCAGCTTCAAGGATAAATTGCAGTCAAACATTACGGCAAATATGAAGACGGCAACCGCAAGAAAGACACGGATTATTGGATTATAATTGGAGTTAAACACATTCGTCAATTTTCGGTGATGTCCTTCCACTTTTATTTGTTTGATTCCAATAATATGTTAAGCTAATTTGTTTCATGTATTGAATGATGACAAAATTGTTTAATTTTTAGCTTTAATTCGAGACCTATGTTTTTATGTTAATTATTGCGTTGTGATTCCATTAATATGTCTACTTACAATGTTTTAATGTTTGCGCACCATTAGGACAATAAGTTGCTTATTCGTAGTGTTGGATAACTCACGGTAGGTAGAACACTGTTATTGAAACACACAGGCAATAAATATTAGGAATAATATTTGTGACGTGTTCGATCTTGTGTGATAATCCTAAATGTCAATGCATGTTTTTCATATGAATTTGGACTAGGAATATGATCGTCTCGTGGTAATCATATGTTTATTATATCTTGAAAAAGAAAAATAAATAAAAAATGAAATTATCGATCGTCACAATTGCATAAATTAAGATAATCATTACTAGTTGAGAATTAAAATTAAGAATTAATCAATGGCGTCGGAAATCCAATACGTTTGCACACTTGATTTTTACACCAACTTTCATTATTTTCACAAGTTTTAGTCCTAAAAATTAGTTAGATATTCATTCAATCATCTTTTGATTATAAACACGAATTTAAATATATCAAATATATTAAAATTGATCCTTATTCCCTGTGGGACGATAACTCTCTCATCACGATTATTACTTGTACAACGAACCCGTATATTTGCGGGTATTTGACGAACACTCGACCCACAGTACAAGTCAAAGTCATATAATATGCAACCCTTCAACTATTTCCTGAATTCTTCAATGAATAAAAGCACACCTCCTTTCACATTCAATGATTTGAAATAAAAACACCAATTCAAAGTTTAGACTACAGCATCGAATTAAACTCCATATATAGGATTTGCAATCTTGCAACTTCTACAGTCTCTCTACAATAAATATACCGATTCTCACGCCAGAGGAAAATCAGAGAGTTTTCTGCCCCTTTTCATGTCATTGAAACATCAAGATAGCACATTTCAGCAAATCCCATTTTCAGAGGCAACATCAACTTGTATTTTCTCTTTCTTTACTCAATTTTGATTTAATTTCCCGAATTGATTTGCAACTGCTAAAGGACATTTCAACTACTACTTTTAAATCACGATAACGTCCATAACTGAACATGGGTTGGGAGAATTGACAAGGAACCAAACAACGAAATTCTTGATGACAAGACTTCTTAAGAGTATATCAACTCGGCTAATTTTTGAAACTCAACTCAGCTGAGTTTGACTTCAAAACTTAAAGGTAAAGAAAATGGGTCGAGTTGAACCATATAAGACTAAATCGTGCAACTTGACTCCTGTCAAGACAACTTACTCAAACTCGACCTAAGTGGAGTGAGTAGAACGTGTGTCCATGTGAGTTTTGGCTGCCGTGTTATTGAATACATACAACACCACTATCAAAGGTTTAATTAAGTGGAATTTGCCAATCAGCACTTTCACAAATCAAAAGTTGCCTTCCGTTTCTCATAATACTCCTCTAGCCAGCCTTTGATCAACTCGACTTCAGCCGTCCTTTGATCGACCAGCCAATCAGGGTCCTGAGCAGTTGCCGGACGCAAATCTAGGTGATGAGCACCTGATAAACAATATTGTTTTACGATTTATGAGTCACTGTACATCATATTTGAATAACTTTCTTTATGTAATGATATATGTCAAACGACAATAGTGACCTCAAATATGACACAAGCTATGCAGAAGTTGAGCTGAGGCTACATGGTCTGCACTCTACTTGAATCTCACTTAGAGCTTAAATATTACATTAGAACTCGACTAAGGTCATATATGCTCAGCTCTATAATAAGGAACAGGCTCACAAGCATTGGCCAATGTCAAACTCATTTCCTAATAATGTTACAATGAAACACAACAACAATTAAGATACAATTTACCCTTTTTTTTTACATAATTCAAACTTGATGATTGTAGCAATATGTAAATTCAATTGAATGGGTTTGACCGACACAATTGGATTGAGGTCATAGAATCCTAAACATCCATGCATTTAATCCCATCAGTGGCAAAAAAGAAGGTAGGATTCCTAAATATCCATGCATTTAATCCCTCAGTGGCAAAAAAGAAGGTAGGATTGCATTAAATCCACTATCATCTAAACGGGCTGACTTCTGAAAAAGTTAAGTAGAGTTACCTTTTTCTGTAACAAGAGCTACAATCGTGTCTGATATATCCTCCAGAACACTACAGCAGATATCATTTGTTACAGTAAATGATTTGGCAATTAAATAATTTAATGAACACAACTATTACAACGGTTACCTCCCGCCACTCCAAGGATCCAATAAACCATTTGAGAATATAATATTACTCCCAAAGGTCTTCAAGACTGACTTAAATCCCTTCATAAGGAAACAGCAAAAAGCAGCAGATAAGTAACTATAACCAGACTGCATAAATCATTTATATGTTTATGCATTGAAGAAACAAAAGAACAATTTGTGGCCACTTGGGGTCATGAAGTAGGAAACAAATTTCATTTCAGAAATTTCTGGATCAATGGCTGGCAAATTTCTGGATCAATGGCTGGCTCATTGAAGTTAACAATTGGATCGACTTGATCGAGCAACATACCAGACTTCAAATGTGTGAATCCCGATTCCAATTAAGAGGGTGTTTGGTGGGGATTAAAATTAGATTTTTTAGTAGATTGTGATAAAAGTTTTTGAAATGTGTGGTTGAAAAGTTGTGGAATCCATGAAAGATGTGATTAATATTGATTGTTTGACTTTCACTTTGATTAAAATCAGATTTTAATCCTTTCCAGACAGGCCCTCAAATAAGATTCTACAATATGCATATAATTAAATAATTCCATATATAATCATTAGTTGACAGCAGTTGAGCAAATACTTCACGATGATATAGGTGTCAAGTTTTAAAGATAAGTAACATGAGGCAAAATGGATCGTTTTTAAATTAGATTCTAGTTTGTAAAAGCTCTCATTACTTGTAAGTAAAGAGATCAAGGTGTAAAAAAGATGTAAAATTACTCATCAATCAGGAGAATAGAAAAACATTTTAAAGCTTGAGCAAAACTTTCGCACATGTCCACCAAATTCAGTAGTTATCCAGGTTGGCCTTGGTTTGACATGGAAATTCTCAAGGCATAACTCTTCCTCAGAAGTGTAATTATAATCATATGCTGGAAACATGCTAGTATTCTTGCTACTTGCAAATGGCATAATCATCTCAGAGCATGCCTGTAAAATATGGACAAACATTTAGATTTAGTTAACTCAATATCACCATTGAAGTTTTAAATTTGTCCAACAGAGAAGCAAAAGGTTTATATGGAAACAATTTCAGGGTTTCACACCTGCCAATCCCAACCACTCGTCATACCATGAGGGTCATCATCCAGATCAAAGCAGTCAACTGTTCCTGTGTAATTGTAATAGACACTAACTCCTTCAAATATGCGCTGTAAGATACCAGTCCCATCTGGACAACTGTCAATCCTTCTACATACCTGACAATGGTAATTATGTTGATAAGCATCAAAGTGAAAAAATATAAGAACCATCTCTGGGCTAGTATTGATAAAAGCAACAACAACATAATCACGATATTTACTTACATGCCAAGATAACGATTAAAACATAGTCAATTATACCATTTAGGACAGGATTTAGCATTTATGAGCAGTATACGATTAGTCCACGTATTCAATTTATATGTCCTTACAAGAAATGATTCACTTAAAAGATACCACATATTGACAAACAATTGAATTGTCTAGAACAGTAGAAGATCTAAGAAAAAAGAAACCCCCTACAACAGCATAACAAGTGCCAAGTGTTCTTATACAGCTTTATGTAATTAATGCGACAATCAAATTCAAATTATTTGCCTAGCAAACCTCCTTTATTGGGTTTCCAGGCATTGGCATTAGAAAGTCGGAAGGATATGGGTAGTTTCCCATTGCCAAATAACTATAAGCCGAAGACAACCAGTTAGAAAGATCATCAGCAGTTTCCAGTTTCCTGCCAATTCAACTTCAATATTTCAGATTCACCAAACCTCGTAACCAAAGTAAAATACTAATGCCAAGGGCCAAACATTTACAAACTTGTAATATCTGTACAATATCAAAAGAAGGGACGGGTTGAAAACTTGCCATCGAGATCACTTACTTGCAGAAGCGAAAAGTGCGGGTCAGACGTAGAAGTCCATCATTTTTCTCTCCTTCTGATGCTATTACATTCCAAGACTTCTTTATCGTGTTGAAGCAGTCAACGCTTTCTCTCTGGAAATGAAATCAACGAGCAATGTCAAAAAAATGGAGAGTATATTCCTATGAATATGAACTAAAATTTGTAGAAGCCATATGATGATTGAAAGGGTGAAACAGACTCTAAAATCATTGGAGACAATGTCATAAAATATCTCAGGCGGCACGATATCCTCAAACTGAAGAACTGGTGCCGAAGAAGCTAATGCCCCAATGGCAATGTGGGGATATTTCAGTCTCATCCATGCTGCCAACACTGTGTAATAGCAATTTTTGAGCTCATAATGAATATTTACCAAGTATAACTATACACCACAGTTAAAAAACAAATTATAATACACCAAACAGTATTAGTTCAAGGTTCTTACTCCCACCATATGATCCACCAAATAACACAACAGGGCAAGCCTGAGCAGATAAATTCCTTTTCAACTCAGTGATCAATACTGCATAATCAGCAAGAGCCTGCTCAGCAGTTAGATGCGCTAAAGTAGTGACATTCTTATAAGCCTCCTCCCTACTTCCATAAGGCATTGACTCCCCATAGTACCTATGCTGCAAACCAAGTACTTCAAATCTTGTTACAAACATTAACCATGTATTTTAAAATTACTCTTTCCATACAAGTTACCTAGTTGTTTCACCACATAATAACTTATCAAGACTTCTATAAATTACTCTAGGAGTCCCTTTACTGAATTAAATCATTACAAGTGGCAAAACATTCAGCCTATTTTTCGTATGCATTATTGAACAGGACATCAAACAACATATTAGCTTCTTCATATTCCTTAATACATAGTATAATAAAATTTGCATATTGTTACTTCAGGGAAGATGATCATTGCGCCAAAGCGAGCCGCTATTTCCCAGACGAAGCCGGTGTTGACAGCGAACCATTCTATGTCGCCTTCGTTGCCGCAGTATAAGAAAATGGGGCCCAATTGACCAGAGCCCACCCAGTGCTCGGTGTTGATAAGGTACCGTTGCCGGAACGTAGGAAGATCCGAAAAGCTAAAGTGGTCCAGAATCTGGTCAAAATATCGGGTCTCGTACCGGTATTTAGAATATTTTAACGGTCTACTATTGTTGATTGTACGGGAGAAGTCGGCGAGAAAGCGAGGGGCATTTTTGGAGGATCGGAGGTGAAGTGGTGAAGAAAGCGTTAGTGGGAAGGAGAGTAGGAGGAAGAAAACAAGGCAGAGGGTAAGTTTTGTAATACTCGCCATTTCTGAGTCGCGAGTTCAGTGACTGTTGAGTCGAGGAAAGGAAGTTGGAATTCCAGGGTTTTGGAGAATCAGCGACAGCTTGTGAAGAAGAAGAACATTCTGCTCCAACATTATTGTGCATTCGTGGCAAGTGGGACTGTGCAGCAATAACCTCAAATTATTTTTTATTTTTTCAAAATTTCAAGACCTAGTTTATATAAAATTAATATTTCACGTCTGCACATAATTATACGTTCACAGTGTTCTAAAATGCACACCTAAATATGACGCGCGAAAGCGCCGAGCAAAGGGGGTAGGCGCGTAATTTATTGGTCAATAGAAACCCGTTAACTACTAATTCATGCTTTTGCGTGCATAATTGCGTCGAGGCGCGCATTACTGTTTCCTTTTTTTCTTTTTTAAATCACTCTTCTTTTAAGTTTTAAACTAAAAATTAAAACCAAATTTTCATTTTTCAGTGCCTTGATTGAAGAGTGAAGACAACCTTCCGAAGCTCCCAAAAATTACTCTCCAACTACAACATCTCGGCACTCTCTTACAATGGTTGCCTGCTTGGTCGTCTTCAACAAACAATTTTCAGTTTCTATATGTCGGTAAGTCAAGCGGAAAATGGAAAATCATTGCTTGTTGAAGAATTAGTAGATTTAATGGTTGAAGAATTTCCAGTTTCCAACTAAAAATATAACTGTTGCTTGCTTGGTCAATCATCTTCAACTCTCGTCCAACTGTTATTTTTTGTTTTTGCCTTTTTAGCAGTGAGTTTATACTTTATAATATTGTCTCCATAGTGGGATTTATAAAAGTACATAAAATCAAAAATGAAAGAGACAATGGAGTTTTCTCTTGTGAGTTAATGAAGTTGTGGGCCTTGTAGTTAATGAAAGAGACATTGGTTAATTCACAGCGAAGTCCGCAATGGGGGTTTTCCGTTTTCTCTAGTGCACTGTACACTATCAATTTTACGAATTCTTTTTCATATAAAATGGGGTTGGTAGGTGGATAAAAGTACATGAATTTGTTAGTGTATTTGTGAAATATGAATTTGTGATCATTATAGTATTGAATTGATTCACAAATTTGGCATTCTTGATCAATATAATATTTAGTATAATTTTTTTGATTAAAAATTTAAAATAACATCAGAATAAGCAAAATGCTTTTTTACGCATTTGCCTCACCTAATCTCGCCTACCCCTTAGTTTGGAGTCAACCCATCGCCACGCATTACGCCTTTTAGAACACTAATTTTTATATGAAGAATCACTTCTCAAAAATGAAAATTTTTGTCAAACAAGCTCTTAACATAGTTGATTATATCTTGTTTGAACCGCATTATTTTAAAAAAAAAATTCTTAAATAGTGATTTGACATTATTTCAATCACACATTTTTCAATAAAATAATATTAAATGCAAATTCAAAATATTTTTTTTATTTTTTAACCATGCATTCTCTATCAATCTACTATTTTAAAATACATTATTTAAAAATAACGTCGACATTTTGTGGGGGATTAAAATTGATGTGTGGCTAAGTTAAAAAGAAAAAAAATGAAAAGAAAAAGGGCAAAGCTTTTCTTGAGAGGTAAGGAAGATCACTCGTCTGTTTTGGCAAATTTTTGAACTGAAGTTAAAAATAAAAAAAGCAACTTCTATGAAAAAGTTAATGCGTTTGGGAGTAAAGTTAATTAAAGTAAGGGCGTGCTTGAGACACCCACATTTTTTTTAAAATCAATTTCAATTCCATATTTTTGCTTGTTTGATGGCTTTATTTTTCTATGGAATTCATTTTCTAACTTTTCATGCCACTTAGGATTTTTCTTGCTTCTCAAAGAATTCCAATTCTCACCAAAATTGTGAGAATTAGAATTCTCGGTTACTATAGCATTTTTTTAATTTTTTTTCGACTTTTTTTTTATTTTTTGCAATGGAAACAAATTTTAAGAATTACTATAAAAAAATATTTTCCTTTAATTGACAATTTCTATGTAAAACAAAACCAAACAAATACCAAAAAATAGATGATTTTTTTGAATTTTTTTGTTGGCAATGGAAACAAATTTCATCCCCAATACCAGTAAATTTTATCCCTTTAAGCGAAATTTTTTATGTAAAATAAAGCCAAACGAACACACAAAAAAAATATTTTTATTTCAACATTTTTCACGGGGAAAAATATTCCAATCAAACAAAATATTTTACAATACATAGGAAAACAATTTCTAGGCAATTTAATTCCCTGAATTTCGATTTTTTTCCGCCCAAATTCTATCTTTGCAATCATACAGACCTAACTTCTAAAGCTAGCTTATAATTTACTTAGAAATAATTTAATTTTACTTATTTGTTCCAACTCTTCATGCTCCTATCTAGCAAGTCAACTTGAATTTGAGAAACAAAAAATGTGGTGGGCATTAGTTTGATTTCCATGTAGCTATATGCAGTTTCATTCGAAGAATCGAACCAATGAAATGATGGTTGCTATCTTTTGTGTCATAATTCTAATTTTGAGGAAACATCGTTATATGTCAATAAATGATTACGAGAACACTGCATGTTGTTTTGATGGCCAGCAACCTTAGATCTAGCGAATGGAATCAGAGAGCTCGACTGAGAATTGAAACTTACTAATGTAATGTACCAACCATTTTGGATAAATTGATGTCATTACAACCTCTTTACGTTTTGCACGAACAATTATGTGTTAATATATACATATGTGCCTGAAATACTGTCCAACGCAGGAGAAATGATTAGGTCGATGCTTGAGGAGTAGAATGAATATCTTTAAGTTTTTTCTTGAATAAATCCACTACAGCATACTATTGCTGATGATAAGTGATTTTTCTATGCTGGTGATGGCTCCAATAAGTGTTGATTAGGTAGAGAGGGCACTTGATTTGTTGCAGTAGAGTTGATGGCCCCTTGGTGCATGGAGTGTTCCTTGCCAGTATTTGCTGATTGATGCATGCAAAGGCACGTTGGACTAGTTACTCGACATTTGGGCTTCAAGACGAAAAGGTAAAGTCATGGAAGGAGGTTGGAATTCATTTGACTAAAGTTGAGAATTAATTACAATATATATTTATGTTGTTCTTTTCGACGAAGATGTTGTATTCCTTTAGTGTGGAAGGTTTATTAACCCTTGTTAGTTGTGATGGCATTGACATACGTTGTGCCATGCCCTATGTCGATATCACGGTGTAGACATGCAATAGTTGGCATAACATACAGTAAATTACAAGATAAGTTTGGAACAGGAAGAACGTGTTCAAGTCTTATAGAGTTAGATATTTGAATTTCGAATACTCCATTTTCCAGCTACAAAAAATAGTGAGCTATTTGCAATTTTGACTTTAAGACTGTGAGTCCGAAGTCCAGCAATACCCAAGTGATATCGAGCTCGGTTTCCAACAAAAGTCGACACCACCACCACTATTGAGACACACCCAAATCTCTCATTTCTTCTTCCCACATACGATTGCTGCTCATATCCACAAAGAGTTGGCCAAGATGAGATCAATAGAGTCCAGGAGAAACCACACAGATTGGTTGAGAGAAAGAGGCCACCGAGAAGAACTCACAGAGAGAACTAAAGAAGATAACAACTTTGGAGGCGTGAACGAGCCAAGAGTTATAGCCCAAGAGGTGTGACCATATATGGTAAGTTAGGGTATGTTAACTTAGTGGTCTGAAAGAGGCTTAACGCAAAATGTATTGGGCTCCAAAAGAATATCGTAGCCATCCAAGTAATGGGTCGGGTCACGAGCAACACTATTAAAATAGGTTGCTTCTAATAGCTCGTAGAAAATTGAATTGGGTTGTCTCGATGGTAGTGTCGACATAAGTTCAATCATATGGCCAATGCCGATTGATAATATAAAATCGAGGTTACATAATTGTTCGGAAGGTCGTTTGACAACAAATTGCCTAACAAAGACTACCGGCACAAGATGGGTATGTAATAAACAGGTTGTGGGAGTCCGTCATATGATCGGATGCACCTGAATCAATAATCCATGGTACTTGAGAGAGTGGGGTAATATTTAGAACTCTTAGGAAATTATCTTTGTGGGCTAATGAATTTGATGGGCTTAATGTTAGAGGTTGGAGAACATTTTGCAAAGTTGTTATAATTGTTCAAGGTTGAATGCACTATTTGGAGTGTGATTTTTTATTTCCGTAGAATCTGTTGCAGCTTGGTAGTCGTGATTTTTGATATTTTGTCTTGGTTTTCAATATGTTGGTTTACCATGCAGATCCCAACATGTATCTTCTTTATGTCCCGGCTTCAAACAAAAATCATACCATTGGCGCACCTTTTGTTGTTTTGCACTTGGCCCATTTTTTCCTCCTTTAAATAATTAGGCTGACCCGTCTTGCCCAACGTACTTGAGCCTATTAAAAACTCTTTTTTTGTAGTTGAACCATCCGGGCCACTTCCAATTAAACTAATCGGCCCATATCCAATTAAACCAACCGGCCACTTGAACCAATAAGAGCTAACCCATCACGTTTCCTGGCCCAATTTCATTCCTAAGCATAATCTATCATCTGCTCTTTTCACGGCGAACTTCAACGAAGACCTCACGGGTGGATGGCAACAGTTGTCGGCCTAGAATCTGTTACGTCATTCAAATCTCTGTTCAACCCTGCCAAGAATTCAAATACCCGTTCATTTGCTAACCACTTTTTGTATCGAACGCTATCACCTAGACAATCCCACGCATCTTGTACATTGAGATCCAATTCTTGCCAGAGTCTTCATCTCCATGTAATAATCGGTAACATTCCTTTTTCCTTGCTTCATTTGCCACAATTTTGTCTTAATCTCGAAGATTTGGGATGAATCCTTAGCATCGGAGCATATCTCTTTTACTGCTTTCCATATGTCTTTTGCAGTCGGTATAAAATAAGTACGTTTTACCTATAGAAGGCTTTATTGAATTCACCGACTATGCCATCACCATGGAATTTTCAAATTTCCATTTGTTTGAAGTTTTGCGTCTGTGGGCTACTTGGTGTCTCCAGTGAGGTATCCAATTTTACATTTTCCGTTAACCACCAACCTAATTGACTGAGCTCATTCTTTATAATTTATCCCATTTAGGCCCTGTTTGATAGCCTTGGAATTCCAAGGAAAATTGA